GGGTCATGGTTTACGCATTATTCCTATATACCTCCTTGGCATAATGCAGCCTCAACTATTTGATATCCAACCTTCTAGAATGCTTAGGCATCCTTCACAACTGGAGACTCTAGACTCAGAAGTAGATAGAAACAACTTATGATACTGAAGCAGCTCTTGAATATCCAGCAACTCATGAATATGGCTAAATAGAGTCAGCCTCCTCGGTTATACTGGATATGCCACAATTGTTTAAGCATCTAGAAGGAAAGTAAAATGGGTTGCCTCCCAGGGTAGAGAGTTCCCTTACGAGGTGCCCAGAATTAAAGATTGGATGACGATGTATTACAGGATCATGTAGAGGTTAACTCTTACTCAGTTACAGGTGGGCTCAATTGGCCAGTAAGTTTCTTCCCTATGGATGAGATTTGGTGATTCAGAGTGATTGGCAGTGTTTCTGAGGGAGAGCCAAAGAACATGGGGAAAGCAATGGGAGATAGGAGAGATGAGAAACAAAAAAAGTTGCAAGAGAAGGCCGGGCAGTGACAGGGGCTGAATACTGTCTACATTGTCTAATGTGTTCACTGCGTTTGGTGCTTTTTCATAATTGTTTTTCTTTGTCACAAGGGAGGGTTCAGTGAAGGGGGAGGTGGAGAGTTGGAATGCCTGCAGTGTAAGGACAAAAGGCATCAATGAAAAGAATTAAAAACAAAATAGAGTTGGGCTAGATGATCCCTGAGGTAACTTTCAGCTCAATCTAAAAAACCACAAAAACAAACAACCCCCCCCAAAACAACCAAACTAAATCAAAAACACCCCCCAATCAGAAAACAATGAAAAAAAGCAGAGAGCAGGAAGAGAAGGGGCAGATATGAGCAATCCAATTCAACAAATATTTTATTGAGTTGCTGCTGCTGCTACTATAGCTAGATGGTTCAGTGAATTGAGCACTGGGCCTCAGGTCAGGAAGACCTGAGTTCAAATTCAGCTTCAGACACTTATTCGCTGTGTGACCCTGGGCAAGTCACTCAACCCTGTTTGCCTCAGTTCCTTATCTGTAAAATGAGCTGGAGAAGGAAAAGGCAAACCACTCCAGTACCTTTTCCAAGAAAACCCCATGGACAATATTGGCATGCTATGGTCAGTGGGGTCATGAAAAGTTGGAAATGATTGAACAACAACTACTACTAGGAGTACTATGATAATAGTAATAATAACCCACATTTAAATAGTGCTTTCAGGTTTACAAAGCACTTTACCGGTGCTATCTTGTTTGATCCTCACTGAGTTAGGTGCTATTATTATCCTCATCTTCAGGGGAAGAAACTGAAGCAGAGAGAGGTTAAGTGACTTCTCCAGGGTCACGCAGCTAGTCAATATCTGAGAGAGATCCAAACTGAGTGCTCTCGACGGGATAGCAGAGAGTTGCCCTTGTGCAGAGCATCTCTCCGCTTTTTTGGGAGAAGCATGACGGAGGTGAAGCAGGCTGTTTCATATTTCCAGCAATCACTTACACACAGGAAGTAGCATAAGGATGTAATCGGAAAAGGAGGTGGGGGGATCATGTATTGAGCAAGAGGGATGATGAGTGGTCGGCCTGGTATCCGTAGAATGTAAAAAGATTTAGAAGAAGACCCCCACTTTTTAGCTAGGGCCTTCATGGGGGTTTTATTACAAAACGTGCACCAGGAGCTCAAGAGATGAGGAGGCATAAGTGGGCACATGGGTGCCCCTATGGAGGGAGTACCTGAGGAGCACTGGGTTAGGAGCTAGAGAAGAAACAAAGGGAATTAGGATATAGTACCTGTCCTCAAGGGATAGCAATTCTATGAAAGAATATACATATTTTTTAGATATATTTAGAATATCTAAAAATAACTTGAATACTAAGCTTAGAGAACTGGGCATAGTAACAATACTAGGTAGCATCTATACAGTGCTTTAAAGTTTGCAAAGCATTTTACAAATATGATCTCATTTTCTCCTCACAATAATCCTGGGAGGCAGCTTCTGTTATTATTCCCTTTTTAAAGATAAGAAACTGAGGTAGATAGAAGTTAAGTGCCTTACCCAGGGTCATACAACTAGTAAGTATCTGAGACAGGATTTAAACTCAGGCCTATCCTGATTCCACATCCAAGAATTTATCTGCTGAGCTATTTCTGTATATAAAGCACTACCCAGGCCAGAAGACAGAAAAATAATTTCTGATGGGAAGGTTTGGAGAAGGCTTCGTGAAAGAGGTACTATTTGAACTCAATTTTAAAGAAAGAGTAGCATTTACAAAAATGCCTCTTCTGTTCTTCTTTGGGCTTTGAAATGGCTGGTTATTTCTTTTTAAAAATAATATTTAATTTTTTCCTATTTACTTGTAAAGACAATTTTTAACATGCATCAAATTTTTTTTTCAGTTCCCAATTTTTTCCCTCCCTCCTTTCCTCACCTTTTCCTGCTTGAGATAGTAAACAATTTGATATAGGTAATATATGTGCAATCATGTAAAACATATCTCCGAGATATTAGTCATGTTGTGAAAGAAGACAGACCAAAAGAAAGAAAACCGTGGAAAACATAAAGGAAGTGAAAAATGGTATGCTTCGATTTGCGTTCAGGATGATTAGCATTTCAATAGATGAGAGTGTGGCATTTCAGACATATAGAATAGTGTGAGCAAAGATCCTATGGTAAGAGAACTCAGAATGTATACAAAGGTGGCAAGTTATTCAGTGTATGATGTGAGGGCAATTAATGTGAAATATGTCTGTAAAGGTAGGATGGTATCAGACTGAGGTAGACCTTGAATGCCAGTCTGATGAAGGAATTTGGATTTTATTCTGTGGCCAGTAGAAAATTCCCTAGAGGTCAATGAGGGGGGTATGGTGGGACTGAGAATAAAAAGAAGAAAGTCAGAGAGGAAAAAGCAAAAGAAAAGTAGAGAAGGAAGACTGGTTCAGAGATCAACAATGGGAGTTCCAAGCAATAGACCCTCTGACAGCAGAAGGTGATGTGACAGTGACTGAGAAGAGTTACATTATTTGGCGTCAATAGACACTGCACTTTTGATGCTGCCACTCTGGAAAGCACAGGCCATTTCCACACTGACTAGATTTAAATGTAAACTCCTTTTTTTGAGGGCAGGGATTGTCTTTTGCCCATTTTTTGGTACCCTGGTGCTTAGCACAGTGCCTGGCACATTGTGGATGCTTAATAAATGCTTGATCGGTTGATTGACTATGTGGTATATAAGAACACTATGGCCTAGCTAATAAGTGGTAGAGTTGGCCCACAGAATTGTATGTTCAGAGCCAGAAGGGACTGTAGAGATCATTAGTTCAACCTCCTCATTTTACAGATGAAGACACTGAGCCTTTGAGAAGAGATTTGCTCAAGGTTACATAGCTAATATGGGATTGAGCTGGGATTCAAACTTAGGTCTCTTATGTGCAAGTCCGTTGGTTTCTCCCCTTTAGCATGCTGCCTCTGTAGAATGGTTTTGCAGGATTAATAAAAGAATTGGATTTTGAACAAGGCCCATTCACTCCTTTCATGTTTAGTGATTCCTGACACAACATAAATCTCTTGGGGAATAGAGGCTTGTCTGAGGCAGTCTTGGACGGGGGGAACATGAAGTTTCAGTATGATAAGTTGTCTGCAAAAAAGGCGGAGTTTGGTGCTAATGGGTTTATATTTCCCTGTTGCTTTTTCCTTCTGTCCAACTGGGCTCCGGGGAAATTCATCCTTTGAGTCTTGGAGGTTAGAAGTCTGGGAGAAAATGACTGTAGTGTGGTGGTCTGTGTTTGTGTCTGTGTGAGGTCCAGGATCTTAAGGCCCTGTCCTTTCTTCGTTCAGATTTTAGAAACTTTTATCTCTTGACACTCTACTCCTCCACACTCTTCCTCCTCCTCCTCCTCTCTTCTTCACCCTTTCAAGCTTCCTTCCTATCCCTGGGTTCTTCAGCTGTCTTGGGAGTGGCCCAGGCAAGGTTCCTAGTCCTGGGGCCTCTGTGGGCTATCTCCTCTTTAGCTTATAAACCCATGGTGTTGATTGACTAGCAACCTCTACTCCTGGACACCAAGGCGTCTAGCTCCAGCAGAGTCCCTGTGCTCTGCTCTGGAGGAGGATGGGAAGACTTTAAAGCAGAGAGATTCTTTTCATCCTGTTTTTACCAAAAGCCACAGTTGGCCAACGTCAGCCCTTCAAACAACACTCATCATTCATCCAACTTGCTCTTTGTGGTTCTCCCGAAGGATCTGTGTCCAGAACAGCTTGTCATTTCTTTTATGAGTGAGCTTATTTTTAAGGGTTTGCTGGCAGCAGGGTGGGGTGGTGGCTAGAGTTAAGGCTTGTGTACATGGATATGTAACAGACTAGCACATGCTCAGAGTGGCTCTGATGTCATCCCCACCATGTGTAAAGACTTGAGAGCCTGCTTCCAAGAGAATTGTGTTCATGTGCCTTGGAAGTGCCTTCGAGAAACTTGAGCATATGTTGACATTCCATAACTGGTTCCAGTCTGCTAACCACGTGGTTAGGAGGCAGCTAGGGGTCTTAGTGGATAGAGTCCTGGGCCTGGAGTCAGGAAGATCTGAGTTCAAATCCAGCCTCAGATATTTACTGGCTGTGTGACCCTGGGCAAATCGCTGAACCACTGTTTGCCTTAGTTTCCTCATCTGTAAAATGGGGGTTATGATACCACCTACTTTGCAGGGTTGTTGTGAGGATCAAATGAAATAATATTTATAAAGTGCCTTAGGACAGTGGCTGCCACATAGTAAGTCTTCTGTAAATGTTAGCTATTATTATTGATTTGCTGCATAACTGTAGCAGTGGGTGCCTTCCAAAAGGCATTATTGATGAGCTGTTTTCTTTTGGCTACTGTATGACTCTGCTGACATTATGCAGTGAGAGAGGACACTGTAAAGGGATAGATAGGCTGTGGGATCTCCCCACTGAGACCGATATGTGGCTCTATGACATGGGCCTTAGTGCTTGGCTTCTATGTTTGTTCTTTTTTATTCTAGGGAAAGGAATTGGGGACCGGGACCTTGTCAGTTTCAAAAGGTCAGGAGAATGAGTGTCCAGGAGTCCTGTACGGGAATCCCAGTATCCTACAAGGTAGTTGGCATCCAGCTCAACATCGATACCCAGAGGAGTAAAGTGTGACCTTTGGGAGTGACATTCAGAATCCAGGCCAATGGTGATTGAGACAAGAACTCATCTAGAATCATGCTGAATCTGGAACTTGATTGGATCAATGTTATATAGAAACTGAGTTAAGTTTGAGCCAACTCACCTCAGAGACTGAGGTGGGATAGGGGAGAGTATACTCCTGAGGTGTTGGGGAAATATTGGCACTTTTGTTATTGTTACATCTTCAAAATAAATATCCCTTTCTAAAAGCTAATTGATGATAAGTAGTTAAATGGAACAAGGGCCTAGGTCATTGATGGCTAACAAGGAGGGGAATAAAATCGATTGGGGGCTGAAGTTGATAGAATCGGAGGAAAGATCCTCCCAACCCCTCGGGTTATTCTAGAAACCTGAGGGACAAATGTAATAGCCTCTGGGATTGCGGGCCAGAGCAATGGTGTCAGACTCAAATACAAACCAATGCCAGCCAGTAGCAATATTGACTTAGAAAACCCCAAATTAACATTATCTATATTTTATTGCATTTTTATTTTGTTAAACATTTCTCAATTATATTTTAATCTGGTTCTGGCTGCACTGAGTTTTGCAGGCCTCACATGGCAGGGTCTCCTGCCTGAGTTTGACACATCTGGGCTAAAGTGTGCTTTTCTTTGCATAACTTCTGTTAGAATCTATTCTATCTTAAAATGTCTTAGCTCTCATTGTTGCCTTCTTAAAAGATTTTGGGCTGTGATACCATAATATGTGAATTAACTGGGATGAAGTAAGACTATTACATTTAATGACATATAACATTTCCCATCTTTTAAAAGCTTAATATGTAATATGTCCTTGCTTTGCGAAAAATCACTTGTTTTACATGAGTATGCAAGATTTTGACATGTCTTTAATTCTTCATTATGAAACCATAAGTCACATTGGCTATTAAATATACCTTGGACAGTCTATTTTTCAAAGTGTTTGTTATTGTTGTTCAGTCATTTCAGTTGTGTCAGATTCTTTGTGACCCCATTTGGACTTTTCTTGGCAAAAATACTGGAGTGGTTTGCTATTTCCTTCTCCAGTTTATGTTACAGTGGAAGAATTGAGAAGAACAGGGATGAGTGACTTGCTCAGGGGCCCAAAGCTAGTAAGTATCTGAGGCTAGATTTGAACTCAGGAAGAAAAGTCTTCCTTACTAGGTCTGACACTCTATCCACTGTGCTGCTTCTAGTTAATTGTTTATTGACAAGACCTACAGAATTGAACAGTTCAACCAGGGATGGTCATAGAGGAAGGACATAGTTTGGACCGGGTTGGAAGCAGTATTTGTATCAGATGGCATGAGCCCTAAGGATCTCAGGGTTGAGAGTCTGGATCTCAGAAATATAGTTTTGATCAATAAGATAATATTTGTAAAGTGCTAAGAGTTGCTTAATAAATACTTGGTGCCCTACCCCTTGATTATAATCTATAGATTTTCAATGGGGTTTAAAGCAGGAAAGTTCCCAGGCCATTGGCATGTTTATTTCCATTTCTTGGATAAATTTCTTAAGCTTTCTTTATGTATGGCATAGTTCAAGGTTATGGTACAACATTCCATCCTCACTTAGGATTTTCTATAATTCTAGAACAATTCTACTTTTCAGTATATACTTATGAATGTTTTTAATTCCTTTAATGGAGGAAAGACTTCCAGGCTCACTAGAAACAAAAATCCTCAAAATATTTTGGGGGTAGATATTTTGCAGGTGATGAAAATGTCCAGATTGTATAAATTCACCTAGATTTCTTCTGATGACAGTTTAGTTTTAGCCTTTAATGGGAAAAAAAGGGCTTCAATTAAAAAAATGACATTTTTCCAGTCTCTAATACTTACCTTGCCCATGACAACCATTTTTTACTACATAGGAAGAGTTAGAGACCCCCCCTTCAAAAAAAAAAACTAGTCTTCTCACTGTTCTTCCAAATCTAAGAAACCTAAGAAACAACACTTCCAGCTTTCGGGTCCCTCTGAAGGTCTTAGGCTTGTTTCTTGAGGATTAATTAGATTATTTTGCATAAATTGTTTATTTCTTGGCATTTTTTAAAATTTTCAATTGTACTTTCCTTCAAGCACCAGATTATAAGTTTGAATCGTCCTCAAACTACTTGGCTTTCTTACACCCAAAACTATTGCAATGTCTCTAATAGTTATCAAGGCAAGCACTTTAAGAACTCTCACTTTCTGCATTTTTTTTTGAGTAATATAATTTTTTTAAAACCATAGAATTTAAAACAGAATCCAAGAAACCAGTGAAACATGGATATCTGACACAAAATCCTCCACTCCACTGACAAAAAACTAACTAGAAGTAGAGAATTTAATCTAGTTTCATTTGCCCTGCTGGTCTGATTCCCCAACCCTGCAAAGGATCTAGGATGGAAAGGGCTCTCAGAGCCCAGCTAGTACATAGCTGAAGAAACAGAAACCTAGAGAGGTAACCGCAGTAACACAGATATGGTGCTTCAGAAGTGGGATTTGAAACTCTGAGTTCAAAGCAGGAGGTGAACAAGATAATCCACTGACTTCTCCATTATGCGAAGGGTCAGTTCTGAGCAGCTCTGAGCCCTTGCTCATAGATGAGTTTGAAAGGACCCAGTGAACTTCTCACCCTGCCTCTCACTGGGGAGATAAGAAGATAAATCCGGACCTTGCTCTTGTGAAGCTTGTAAGCTGCTAACATTAAATCCCCCAAAGAGGAGCTGTTATCTAAGTGATGGGCTTCTTTGAAGGGGCCAGTACCAGCTTGACAGATACAGCAGTTTTGGTGACCTTCAGAATCATGAGAATGCGGTTGGTCATTCAAATTCTCATTCGGGCCCATCCAATAGAGTTAAAGAAACCCTGACCTTGCTGATTTTGAGCTAAAGTGAAATACCCCACAAAATAGAGTACCAGGAGAAGTGTGGAATCTTTACTTGGAGCCTTGATGATTTGGGGTGCTGTTAAGTAGGGGTTCAGGAAGGACTTCACTATTTTTTTTAAAAATACCAGCTGTGCAAGAGCAACTAGCTTGGGTTGGAGGTGGAGCATGTCAGGAGTGTAATTCTGGGTCATCACTGAAATCAGGATTTCTTTCTTTCTACTTTGCTAGTTTGCCTGATGAAAGCTTGAGAATTCCATGAGTCACCCAGATTCGTACTGGCCAACCAAATTATTCCCCATGGACCTGAAGGATGTCTGTCATTGCCAGGAACTCATGAGAGGGTTGGGTAAGAGGAAGCGCTTGAGGCAGAGGCAGAGGCACATTTTTACCTTCTTAGGCTTCCCTGTGCAAAGGTGAGGAAAGCCATTTTGAGTATTTTCCACTTCTTCCAAATATGAGACAAGACCAGCTGTACCAATGATGACCTCTGTACTGTTTCTCCCTTGTGCTTTGTGTCTGTTGATCTGCAGGCTTGTAGGTGCTGGGCATTTCATGGAGTCATAGAATGGACATTTGAATATTTATTCTTTATCCATTCAATTGCAATCTCTCTCTGTCTCTGTCTCTCTCTGTCTCTGTCTCTCTGTCTTCTCTCTCTCTCTCCCTCCCTCCTTCCCTCTTCCTCCCCCCTGAGATGTTGTGCGAGGCGCCAGGGAAAGAGACAGAATATAAATAAGACATTTCCCATGATCTTAAGAGTTATCAATTTGACTGATGGTAGGAAAGACGGGGTCAGTAGATGTGGGTTTGAATCCAGGTTTTGACACTTCCTAGCTGTGTGGTCCTGAGAAAGTCACTTCATGTCTCCAGGGCTTGGCTTCCTCTTGTAAAAATGGGAATCATAATGCTTGGGACATCAACATCACAGGGCTGTTATGAGGAAAGTATTTGGCAAAACTTAAAGGGCTATATAAATGTATATTCATATGATTAGAAATAATGTTACAATGTTAGCGTTGGAAGGGACCTTGAAGACCATCTGGACTGATTGCTCATTTTATGGTTGAGGAAACTGAAGCCCAGAAAAAATGACATTTCTTCACTATATTCACAAAGGGAGTTAGTGGAAAAGGTTGGACTAGAACCCATATCTCTTGATTCACAGTGTAGTTATGTGGAACTATCACATGCTTCCCTGTTTCTTCCGTCTGAGTTCGCCCCTGCAGGTGTCCTATGCAGTCCTCACCTTAGGGCTGGACTTCTGGGTCCCAGAAGCCTCTAGAAACATTGGTTCCATGGAGCCAGGCCTCCCCATCTCACAAAGCAAGGTGTTTTCTATTAGTGAGTTTGTGGTGACTGTGTGTATAGAGTGTGCACAGTCACATTATGGCATAATAGAATTTGCATCCCAATTGACCGTGCTATGAATCTGCATCGGAGCCCCAAACAAATGTGTTTTTCCTTAGCAGGGAGCTGGGCGTGGGCTGTGTGGGTTATGGCGCTCTGTCTCCGGGAGCCTGCTGGGCGTTCTGCAGCTGGGCAGTAGGCTGTGTCAGGAGTGCCCGCTGAGGTGTGAAGTGACATCACAACCACAACAAACACCAGCTCTGGGAGAATGTTCGTGCACATGAGAAGAGGAGGGGACTTGGAGCTCCCAGGGGAATTGGCTTCCCGCAAAACTCCAATTAGCTCCCAAATTAGTTCCCCCATCACGTGTGCAAGGATTTCTAACCAAATTTGCTGGAAAATGGATTCTCAATGCTTCTGTCTATTTACCTAATACTTAACACAAGGATAGCAACACACATACAAATTTAAAGTAAAACACATGCTGGTTTTTTTTTTAGATAAAAATTTGAAACAGATGGTCTCTTTTAAGACAAATATTTATTCCCCTGACATTTTTCACTTCAATGTTTATATTTTTAAATATAGGCTTTATACTGAGACTTTGGAGATGTCATCATAATGAAATCCATGTTGCTCATAATTGTCTATTTCCTAGAATCATAGAAACACAGAGCTGGAAGCAACCTCAAGAGGTTATCTCTGCCATCCCCCTGCCTCTAGGCAGGGCTGAATGTAGCCAGCTGGGACAAATGGGTGTTTATCCTGTTTATCTTGGAGCTCTCTGAGGAAGGAAACTCCACAACACCTCCTCCCTCTCCAAGTTCTTTTCATCTCTTGAGAGTTATGGATTCCCAGATTGGATGTAGCGTCCTAGGAAGTACTCTGCCTAGTCATAGAGCATAGTTCTGTTACTTCCTGCCATATCAGATACTATACTTTTCTCTGCTCCAGGCCTTTTACCTGTGTTTCTAAGCAATAGAATAACTTGGCTGCCCCCTCTGACCTGGATTAGGGTTCTCTGACACAGTCAAGGCTCATCGGGTGCTGTTTTCCTCCTCTCTAAATGAATGTCTTATAGGCAAAAAGAAGCAGAATTTGGAGCAATTGTTCAGTTGCAAATGAATAATTTTGGGGAGAAAGTTGTAAGTAGAAACTAGCCCTCTGTCTGAGTTATATGGATAAGAAAAGTCAGAGAATGCTTGGAGAGGCCCAGATGAGCTTTCTTCTCTTCCCTTTGAGGGCAGGCATCTTTGTATTCTCCCTGCTTCCAGCAGCCCCTCGTATCTTGAGCTTGATCTAAATTTTGTTCAATGAGTGGATGAATGGATGGATAGGTAGATGGATAGACTGATGGACTGATGGATAAATGGATGGATTGATTGATGGATGGGTGAATAAACAGATGGACAGATGGCTAGATGCTAATCACTCCTGATCTGTGAGAGCTAGGTTCCCCCCTGTGAATAACAATCGTCCTATAGCATGCCTTGTAGCCTTGGGTCCTTCCTGATCATTTGTTTGTTACAATGTCCGTTTCATGCGCTTTCCCTGTACACTTGCCTAGAGCTATGCCCATCTATCTATTTTGGGTAGCTTGCATGCCTTCTCAGTCTGGGTGCCCATCCTGCGTATCTGCCCAGACCAAAGTCAATCTTACATACTCATTTATGGAAGAACCAATTACTCACATTTGGTTGG